ATCAAATATTGTTCGAAATATTTAAAAAAACTATTTTAGAAAGTAAATTTAAACATTCTGTATTTCGGAAGCCACGCATTTTTTGACCCATGTTTATATAGACTTTATGCATTAATTTTAAAGGTTCTATCGAATCTTAAAGTTATGCAACAATAAACTGAAACACCCTGTATATGTGTGTGTGTGTGAACAACAGCGCTGAATACGGTCCTGTGTTCTACTAGACTTACACTGGATTCATTATTGCCAATGTTACATACTAATACAATGATGTCACTTGCTGATCAGCTGTTCACCTCAGTAAATGTCAAAGCTTAATGGGTACTCGTGAAATGGGCTTAAGCTCGGGCTTAAGTGACGTTACCTCTGATATTTTATTCGAGGTTATGACCAACAATTATAGCTCCGGCGATTGAATCTGGACAGTCAGTTGATTGCTCTGCCTAACACGTTCTTTAACAATCTGAAAGTCGGATGCATTCAGAGCAATCCAATCCAGACAAAGACAAGCGTTACCACGTTATGCTCAACAAATTTTTGCTTCCTGAAATCAAAAGCCGAATAATCAGCGAGCGTGCTGATGTTGATTTGCCACCTCGGAGCTGCGATTTGACTCCGTTTAGCTTTAGCTTATGTGTTACACCAGCTCTCAAGAAACAATTGGGACCTTGAAACATGAGATCAAACTTGCTATTCAAGAGCTTCAAGCCCAAACAATCGAAAAGCGGATGACGTACTGTCGGGTCAGCCGCGGTAGTCATTTGAATGATTTTGTTTTATACTAAAATGTCAGCGATCAACTTTCCCAATAAAACCAGAAATTTGGAAATGTCATTCATCCCGTTCAGCCGAGCTTCTACCTCCCACGCCTAGTGGTCAGGAAATATTTTGATCGCAAAAATTCTCGAGAATGAGATATTACGTTTTTGGACGTTTTATGTGTCCGGCTATAAATTGACCCCCTCTAACTTTTTTATATGACCATCTAGAAGAAAAAGTTATATATAAAAGTTATAGGATCTAATACAAAGTTCTTCATCTAATTTAAACCCTGTATATTTTCAGTAAAAATGACAGAGGGGTCAGTTTATAGCCGGACAACCTGTACATCATGAACAACTATGTCTGTCATTTCGTCTGTCTGTATGTCGGTCTGTCCGGTAATCATTGACCCGCACGGTTATCACGTATCATGAAAAGTGACATTATGCCGATTTTTTTTACATTATGCTGGTTTTTGTTGACATTATGTAGGTCTTTCTACAAGATAATAACTTAGCACTTAGTTTTACGTGTTGCCTAAACGTCATAAGGCTTGTTATCAATCTTTGGCTCTCATACGATGTAAAATCTGCTTCTGAGATGGCATTACTGGAGGTCTAAGCTGGAAGTTGTATGTGTCGATGATAATTACATTGGGTTCTTGTCTCAAATACACATAGTTGAGATTCAAGAAATTAGTTGCGCAACCACTTTTTCATATCCATTCTGGAAATTACATATATAAATTTACTGAATTTCCAAAATGAGAGAGATAAGAAATAGTTATATTCACTGTACACTGTCGAATTACAAGCCATATAAATGCTAACAGTAATTACACACAACGCGGGCCCGGTGATGATTTCCCGTAATTCTCCTCAGTTTTTCGTAATTTATAACTTTGAACATAACCTCTCTTCAGAAAGCACAACATATAAATAATCGGTCATATTCAGCATATTCAGTATAATGATTTTCTCACACAGCAAATATCACTGATTTTATACACATGCAGACCAATACACATAATCATCCAGATGCGATCTTGTTATTCAACCAACTTTCTTCTCAGAGATAAAAACTACAGATACGGATCACTCAGCCTCACAAAACTATGCAACCAATAATGCGTGGTTTAGTTGAGTGATTCCTTCATAGATGGACGTTTACAACGATCCTAATGAGCAAACGTGGAATTACTGTTTGCGCCCTGAAAACTACCTAGTCTGCAAGTTGATATCTTATAAGTTTTTTTTACGTTTCGTAGGTTTTTTACATAATACCCTATAATTTGGAAAGTTCTGCCCGGCAGAGGTATTACGTAACTCAAAAAAAGATATGACGTTTTCTTTTTTGACATTATGTAGGTTTTTTATGACATTATATATAGGCTTTCCTACAAGACGTCGATCTGGAACTAGCTGTCCTTCACTTCATGTTTACTTAGCGAGCGCCGGAATGGACAATTTGCACACTAGCCTACTTAGCTAACAAGTTGACATTGTATCTTTTTTTTTGACATTGTGTAGGTTTTTACGTAATAACCCTCCGGATTTCGACGACATTATTACACGAGATTGCTACAATGCCAAGGACGAAAACAAGCTTTGTAGTTTTAAAAAATCGTTTCAGGGACAGCAAAGAAAAAGACAAAAAAAAATAGACCTCTCAAATTTTTTGTCTTTTCAGAGGCTCCTGATCATTTTCAGATAAAAAAATGTGTGAGTTGAAAATTGAGGTTTGGCAGTTATGAGGATTGGGAAGGGTATATCAGGTAACCAAATAAGTTCGTGCGGTTTTTAGTAGAAAAATATAAATGTTTATTGAGAAATAATAAGTCACTATTTATTCGTCGAAGTAACTACCATCACATTCAATGACCTTTTGCCAAGATGGAACCAATTTTTGTATGCCTGTATTGTGGAACTCCCTGGATTTGGAGTAAAAAAATTTGCGGACTGGATTTATTACACCATCTCGAGTTGTGAACTGTCGGTGCCTCATACAGTTGTCAAGAGATAAAAGAAGGTGATAATCACTGGGCGAAACGTCAGGAAAATATGGCAGGTGCGGTAACGTTTCCCAACCGAGTTCACAAATTTTTTCTCGGGTCACTTTTACGGTATGAGGCTTGGCGTTATCCTGCATGAACATCACTTTCTTCCGATTGTTCAAAGAAGGTTGTTTCTGGATGAGTGCTGCTTGTACTCGTTGAAGCTGCTCACAATACAAGTTAGCAGTGATGGTTTGACCCCTTTCCAAAAACTCATAATGGACAATTCCAGTTGCTGTCCACCAAACACGCAACAAAACCTTGTTTGGGTGCAAGGAAGCCTTGGGCGTGTGTGGTACCGAATCAGTAGGCGACAACCAATAATACGAACTATTCGAATTCGAATACAAGATCTATTTTTTGTTACAGGTTAATAACCGATTAAGAAATGGTTCATTACCGTTGCGTGAAATGTTTGCTGAACAAGTGGTAAGACGACTTAATTTGTTATCATTTGTCAGTTCATGTGGGACCCATTTGCTTAACTTCCACGACTTTCCTAACTAACGAAGATGCAAACGAATAGTTTCAGCACTCACTCTGAACATTTCTGCAAGTTCTTGGCACGTTGTCCTGGAATTTGCGTCCACAACCTGTCGAAGATCCTTGTTCATGATTTTTGACCTCCCTGTGCGCGGTTCACTACTAAAAAAAAAATGTTTTGAACCACTTCTGTGCTGTTCGATCAGTAACGGCATCATCTCCGAATGCGGTACATATTTTTCGCGCTGCCGCTGCAGCTTTTGTACCAAGTTTGTACTCATACAGCAAACAACTTTGAATTACTGTTTTATTCGTCACCTTTTTCAATTACTAAAACTAGGTATGTAACAATTTTTAGCAACTTTTTATGTGTGTGAGAAAAGAAGGATTCATAGTAAAGTGACAACAGGTAACAAACAATCGCTATCGATCAACAACATCCATGGCAATGTGCGATATACAGCACGAACTTATTTGGTTACCTGATATATCAATTTTTTGATGTTAGTATATTTATATACCTCCAACCTGAAAAATTCTACGCAGCTATTTAACATATTTCGCTCATCACTGATTTCCCCGCACATTTTAAATTTTATAAACAATAGAGAAATGCTTAAGAAACAGGTCTCTGTACTTCTGCTCTATGTGTTCACAGTTGGGCGTTCCGGTCTTCATAAATATCTTGGCATGACTGACGCTGTTCCACGCTGCCGCGTCTGACACGTCGTTCATCGTGCAATATGCTGCCGGGAAGAGGCGACGTTGCCAGGTGGACGCCGCTGTTATACATGTTCGTAACTAACTTTATTCGGTCTAACCTAAACGTGCTGCTTTTGTCCGTCTGACCAAAGACAGCCAACTATGGACAGATGTTTCGTGCTTCATTGGCAACTCATGACTTCGTTGCGTGGGAAGTGCTACTCGTCGCTACTTCTTTATAGCCGATTCAGGTTTTAAATGGAACTGAAATTTAAACATTTAAACTGAAAGCTTAAACAACAACAAAAGACAAACTTTCCTACGTCGCCAACTCTTGGGGTGAAAGTTTCAGTTCGGTCCCCGTCGACGCCGCTGGAGCGAGAGTACCTACCCTTTACGCGGTTGCCCTCAGAGCGCGTGCCGCTGGAGGGTGCGGGATTTCGCACGTGCTCTGGTCTGACCACCTGCCTTCTCGAGCTTCCGATACTCGCTGCAACAAGAAGGAAGTATCAGGTATCCGTGTACGGGCGAACCAGTCGATCGGAACGCTCAGTACTGACACCGAGAGGAAGCGACAGCTTCGACTGTCATTGATACACACGGAGGGCGATCGGTGGTGACGAATTGAAAAGGAAACTGGGGATATGTCGTATCAATTTACTGTTTAAATGGGGTTAGAATACAGACAGTTGTGTATAAAGCGGGAATTACATTACGAAACTAGTGGTATGAAACTAGTGTCATGACAGTACTGACAGTAGTTTCATCAATAGTTTCACGTGTAAATGTTAAGTTTCACAATGCGTGCATTACTTTCATGACACCGATTTACTTTCGTGCGGCGCGCAATTTTTGAACGACACTAGTATTATGCCACCAGTTTCACGATGTAAACGTGACGCGAATGTGCGAAACTAGTGTCACGACAGCGCTTCAGAGTGGATGTGTGTTTTGTGGCCGTGCACGTGCAGATTGTGAAATCGTGAAATATTCGTTACAAATGGCGAATCAACGCTGGACAGCCGATAAAAATATACAGTTCATTAATGAATACCAGCGAAACGAGTGTCTTTGGGATCCAAAACACCCTGACTACAAAAATAGAGATGCCCGAGACGCGGGGTACAAAGCAATTATGGAGGTTATGCAGATGGAAAGTGTAAAAGATGTAATTTGCAAAATACGAACACTTCGTAATACTTACAACAATGAAGTAATGAAGACAAAAAAATCGAATACTACTGGTATGGCAACCGATGAACAGTATATCTCTAAAATACCATGGATCCCTCATATGGATTTTTTAAAAAATACTGATGGTTATGCCAGAGGAAACACAGAAAATTTGGTAAGTTTTTTATTATCAGCTTCCAATATGATTTTGCATTTAATAAATCATCCTATCTTGCCATTCTAAACGCCCTTGCCCAACAAAGTAGTCAGTATAATGCTCGCGTATCCGGTGAGCATTTCTCGAATGGTTTCCACTGAAATTACCCAGTGGCCTAAATGAGTTCTGTGCTATAGTACGCCATGATCCTTCCACTAAGTCTCCTGTTTCTGAGTTTTCTTCATCAATCAGTCCTGGCTCAATGTAGGTTGATGATCGGGTCTTCAGCCAGTTATGCAAGACACAACATGTCTTTATAATTTTGTCCACAGTTTCTGGGAGTAGAGCAATAGGCTTTTCAAGTATACGAAATTTGCTAACCAACACTCCGAAGGCATTCTCTACAGTCCGGCGAGCTCTGCATAGTCGGTAGTTGAAAATTTTTTGTTTTTTCGATAAATTTAGTCGACGACTATATGGTGTCATAAGATAGTCAGTGAGAGGAAACGCCAGGTCCCCCAATAAAACCATTCCTTCAGGGGCGTTCAAAGACATTTCCTCCAACTTTTTTTTAAAATTTGATCTGGCAAATACTCCTCCATCAGAAGCTCGACCATAGTGGCCCACATTGATATACCTGAATTTTAATTCACTGTCGCAAACTGCTAGGAGGACAATACTGAATGTGCCCTTATAATTATAATAGTCACTTCCAGAATGTGCTGGACATCGGATTTGAACATGTTTGCCATCGATTGCACCACCACACATTGGAAAATTACATTTATCATTGAAGCCATCCATTATCTCCCTCCAACATTCTTCTGTGTTTGGTACCTGTAAAGAAAATTCAAAATTTAATTATTGTTTTAGACACCCAACACTGCTTCACAGGGTTCAGCTTCAGGATCCAGTAATGATGAGTTTACCATACCACGCACACCTACAAGAAACAAAAGGAAAATTGCAGATCCGCTACTTAAAGCGGTACATACATTGGAACAGATTTCCTCGCAACACGTGCCTAATGCAGGCAATGATGAGTTTGCACTGTTTGGGCAAACCGTAGCTCAACAGCTACGACAGCTTCCTCTGGAAATTGCTTTAGAAACAGAGGAGATAATTTTATCAACAATAAGAAGGCAACGAATCAGTTCTTTGAAGCAACAGTCGTTATCTCAACGCAATTCATCGCCACCAAGACCAAAGTCCACGGCTTCTGCCAGTAGTGCCATCAATAACGATAAAGAAGATGCAAATCCCACTGGTTACAATAACGATGTACTTTCTCAAGCTATTGCCAGCATAACGGAGAGAGAATTGGACTTTGATGAGTATTTTTAGATTTGAGTATCTAACTTTTCAACTGTATTAAATAAAAATGTTTTGCTTACCTGAATGTAGTCTTTTAATGCTTCATAGATTGCGATTAGCACATCAGGTAGAAATTTTGATATACTACATGGTGCCACTCTAAATTCGTATGACAATGACTTCAAACTATTCCCAGTTGCTAGAAATCGCAGCGTAATTTGAAGTTTTATTTTTGGTGTCAATGCTGCTCGACATGTCGTATCCTGCTTAGTGATTTTGTCAGATACTTTATCCAATAAAAAGTTGAAGCAATCTTCACTCATTCGAAAATAGTTTGTATAGCTCTCAGGATCTTCATCTGCTAATTCGGAAATTAACTGTACTGCACCCAGATGTCTCCTTGCTACCCATCCTCTAACCCACCAACGCTTTTTCTTTCGAGCCATCCTCTTTTTCAGTTTATATATCAACATCTGTATGACAACATCTTGAACTGCAAAATACAGCTTCGATGCTGACGGCGCCATGATCACAGCGATACTGTCGATTTCACGACACTACGAAACTACTTGCACATGAAATGTTGGTGAAATTAATGTCATGACACTAGTTTCATACCACTAGTTTCGTAATGTAATTCCCGCTTAAAGGTTGGAATTCTAGTACCTGATGGAATACATTTGCTGTACTGGCGGCACTGCTGGGCGCATTATACAAGGGGTATTGAAAGTTGGGACTTTCCGTTTCAGAAACAACTATGATTAAAGTAACAAAGCTAGTGTGTGGTGAAACAGTAGCGAAAAAGTAAAAAGAAAATAATGAAAAAGTACTCGCCGTTCATTTGCAGAGAAATGAGAAATTTCAAGTGCAGGTATGTTACCTATGAGTACAGTTTGGAGCTATTGTAAGCTGTCCAGCCGCTTCCGGAAAGTAAATGGTCCAATGATGTTCATTTACCACGACACCCCAAATATCCGTTAAAAATGTGACCAACCGATTATAGTCAGTTAGCTTTGAAATGGCTCATAAAGGAATGACCAGCTTACAAGCTCTTTCTGACTGTGCTGATAAGACCGGAATCAGCAACTTAGAATGTTCTATTTCCATCGCATTTCAAAATAATTGAACACACAGGTGGATAAATTTGTCATGTAACATTTTTAAAAAAAATGCTTTTGCATTAAATTATCCTCAAGGAGTGATTCTTCCATTCTGTGATTACTTTGTTACAAAAACAAGATGATAACAAAATAATTAAACTAAACATTTAAAATTTCAATATTCTAAAATGTTCGAATAAAGAATGTTAAAGTTATTTTTTTCTATACAATGATGTTACATGAAACCTTTATCCACTTTTGTCTTCAATTGGTTTTATTACATTTTATAGCTCAAGTGCAGAGTCAGCCTACTTGATGCCATTTTTTCATTAAATGTCTGAAACCAACCTTGCTGTGATTCAAATGTGTTAAAACTGATGAAACAAAAGTAAAGTTACCTGTGTGATTTGAAGCGACCTGTAACTTATTTAGACAACGTTTTTTTATGCTTAAGAGTCCACGAAGGCCTAAACACCCATTGGGTACCGTGGGGGTATAGGGGGATACAGGAGGAAAGGGGAGGACGCCACACGGACTTTAGCTAGGGAACACGAGCACATGCAACATGCACACATTCTGGCCCCGCCTTAGGGTGGTACCTCCGCGTTCGTCAGTCAGAAACCATCTATCACCTCACAAAATCTATAGCCAAGAGAAAAATGTCTCTATTGACGGTATTCCAAACCGCGCAGCCCTGTGAATGATTGGTAGACTCATAACGTCTACCACTACGCCACCGCTGCACCTACAAATTCGGAATATTTTCCTCCATCTTTGACGATAATGATCAATTCATTATTTTCTGTGTCCAATCATATTGTTTTAATCGTTACTGATTTACTAATGTTAGCCTCACTTAAGCTATTGTATGCGCACTATTTACATTGTATACAAATTGTTTACATTGTATACACATTGCATATATTGTGTACGCATTGTCTACGACAAAACGTAAATAAGGTTCATCACTGATTGACGGTTCCAACTACGTAGGTGATTCTTGAGGGAAACTTGATAAGTGTTAGAGGTGGTAAAATATGCATGGTTTTCTCATCTATCCAGCCTCAGACGGCCACCGGTAAGTAGGTGTTTCATGATTATTGGCAACTGGCCAGCACGATCTTAGTTTGGTCTCAGGTGGGACCAACAAATTCCAAGAGTTTAGCCAAGCTAAGTTTACATTGCATTGTTTATCATCAAAATCGCGTAGTTTTAGTGCATACCTTTGACACACTTGTCCACCAAACTGACAGCGTTGTATCAGCATAAGAATGATACTAACCGGTGGAAACATCTACCTTCATTAGGCTTAAACTGCGCTTTGCAAATTAAGTAAGATGTAGCACGTCCACCATTATCTACAAACTCTCGCTTTTTTAAAAACCAACACTACAAACTTAATGGCAAGACTGTCAAGAAGTTGAGTAACGTCAAGTGCATGTTGATCCTCATTACAGACTATGAGAATAGACAAAGAAATCCTAATCTATCTCAATTATACAGTCTACCGAAGTCAGACAGCACACTGTGAGTAGAGTCAACCACAGGATTTCCAGGGAGAACCAATCAGATCTGAACGGTTGATGCTAGAATCAGTATACTAGTCACGAAAAATACAGAAGCTTTTGCGGAGCTGCAACATTAACTAAAGTCAGTTTCTGGGTGAATCGGTTGAATAAATCAAGAATCAGATGTTAATTCTTAGCTGAGATCGATGAAAGACCTCAAAAAGACTATTTTTCTTCTCCAAATATGACCTCGCGGCAACTTAGGATTTTTTGATAGCCATATTAAAGGGTGGACCATCAGTTGTTTTTTTAAGTTGGTATTATTTTGACAGTTGGTATCACCTCCATGCTCAACATATTGACAGATATAATATGTCATAGTCCCGCTGTGAGCAATGACTCATTTTAATCTTGAACAAAGGTGGGAAATATTGAAAAACCATTTTCAAAGTGTGTGATGTGTTGCAGAAGCTTTGCGAAGATTGAGAAGACTATTTGGTCGGAATGAAGCTCCGTCCGCGACTGGGATACGGAACTGGCCTTTTTGTGGATAACAGAAGGTATGAGCGTGTTCGAACCGTACCTACAACCGAAAACATTGCTGCTGATGCCCAGAGTGTGCGTGAAAGTCCGAGGATGACAACTCATCACAGAGCACAACAAGTGGGTATCAGTCGCACTTCTGTGCGGAGAATATTGCCTGACCTGGGATTATTTCCTTACGCGGTGCAACTTGTGTAAGAGTTGAAGCAAAATGACCATCCGCTTCGATATCGTTTCTCTGTGTGAGCTCTAAGTCAATTGGAAACGGATGTCAATTTTGGTGGCCAAATCATCTTTTCGGACGAAGCCCATTTAGATCTGAAAGGTTACGTTAAACAGCTGAACTGTAGGATTTGGGGTTCTGAAAATCCACATGTCATAGAAAAACCAACTCATTCAAAAAGAGTAACTGTTTGGTATGGCTTTTGAAGTGGTCCCTACTTTTCTCAAGATGAAGATGGTAACAGCGTGACGGTAACCGTTATTTGTGGCCACTATAAGACGACATGAACTTGCACAACCTCTGATTCCAGCAGGATGGCTGGCACCAGCCGTGAAACAATCGGTCTTTTACACACCAAGATCGGTCACCGCCTTATCAGCCGTTTTGGAGACGTTCATTGCTTCATTACTTCCTATGGGGTACTGTTAATTACAGCTGTTATACTAACGATCCTCAAACAATTGAAGTTCTTGAGGAAAATATCCGTTGATCTATTGATGAAATAGACCGACAAACTAGCGAAAATGTGCTTCAAAATTAGGTTAAAAGGATGAACTACTGACAGGCCAGCCGTGGCACCCATTTAACTGAAATTGTTTTTCATAAATAATCGGAAGGTGTATTCTTTTGAATAAAGTATCGAGTGTTACATATTATTGAAAAGCGTAGTTTTAATACCAATTTAAAAAAGAACCCAACGGATGACCCACCTTTAGAAACCAGCATTCCGAATTACACTTTAGGTTGACGGTGACACTAAGAATTCGAGAGCATTCGCTTCCTAAATTTAATACGTAATAGACGTATTTTGTTTAACTCGTCAAGGTGAAAAAGGTAGTCCGCAGTCAACACTGAAATGAGGGAGCTGCAAGGTACATTCCTTATAGTCCAAAATTCTTTGTCTCAAGCTTATAAGCCCTGCTAAGCCCTTGTTCTTAGCCGACCACAAGCAACAAACTACGCCACTGTCTCTCAAGTGAGTAAAAACGAAACTGCCTTCTCTCCCACCCTAATTCGGAGTGCCCCTTTTTTACAGAAATGACCGTTTTATTCATGAACGTGATTGAAGCGAATTAGAGATAAGCTGTGCCACTCCAACTCCACATTTGAATAAAATAATTGCGAGTGTATGTGAAAAAAAAAGGTTGATATGCGTATCACTGCCAGCGACGAGGGGATAGCAGCTGGATTTGGCATTAACCAACTCGCTATCTCGGCATGATTTTTGAATAATTTGAAATATATTGGAATCAGATGAAATATTTATTATTGAACCTTATACTACATTCCTCTAATGGTACGCGTCCGCATCGTACACACCAGGCCGTTTGCATTAAGCGCACTTTATAATGCCTTGCAGGTTATTCAATACCAGTGCGTCAACTGCACTGCAAGAAATGCATGTAAAATCATACTCCATGGGCCAATTTCACCAACAACAGTCCGTTATTCTCCACCTATAGGGTAACAAACCGTCAAATACAACGAATGAGCTTCAAGTTCCAATCAACAAATTTTAGCAACCAATAGCTATGAAATGTTGGAAACAAAATACTGTCTTGTCATCGAAACATCACCAGCTTATTGAATATTAAGAAATTACATATAATTCAGTCAAAATTTAAAGAAATGTTGGATTTTTTAATAAAATTCATG